GAATGTGCCATGCTGCTTCACCTTAGATCCTGTTGTTGCACGTTTCCCTCTGTCTGAGATGCTGTCCCCTTACATCCATCTCCCCAGTAACTCCTTCCCAACCTTTAGTTCTCAGCACTGATACCCTTTCTCAGAGGAAATTTTCCCAGACCCCATTCACTATAGATAGTAGACCTTTCCTTCCCTTCCCTTTCTCTTTCTTTCTTTCTTTCTTTCTTTCTTTCTTTCTTTCTTTCTTTCTTTCTTTCTTTGAGAGAGAGAGAGAGAGAGAGAAAGAGAGAGAGAGGGAAAGGGAGGGAAAAAGAGAGGGAGACAAACATCAGTGTGTGAGAGAAATAAATGTCCATTGGCTGCCTCTTACACACCCCCAACTGGGGACTTGGCCCACAACCCAGGCATGTGCCCTGACTGGGAGTCAAACCTTTCAGTTCTGAAGCCAGTAAGAAACTCAATCCACACCAGCCAGGGCTGGACCTTCTCCTTCTTCTTTTTTAAAAAATATTTTATTTATTTATTTTAGAGAGAAGGGGAGAGTGGGCGAAAGAAAGGGAGAGAAACATCAATGTGTGACAGAAACATCAATCGTCTGCCTCTCATACTCACCCCAACCAGGGATTGGACCCACAACCTAGGCATGTGCCCTGACCCGGAATCAAACTGGTGACCCTTGGCTTCATCAGATGACACCCAACCAACTGAGCCACACCAGTCAGGGCTGGGTGGTAGATCTTCTTAACCACTGTGTATGTACTTGAGAACTCTAGCGTAAGGTTTACTGATTAAGGGCTGCTAGATAACGGTCCAGAATAGCTGTTCAAGCCCAGAACCTCACCCATAGTACTTGAGGGTTTCTATATCTCCACATGCCCACCAGTACTTGGAGTGATTCAGTTTTCTAATTATTGCCAGTATGATGGGTGTAAGGTACTATTTCACTGTTTTAAATTTGTTTTCACTTTTCTAATCATTAGTAAAATTGAGCATGTCTTCATATGTCTGATAACCTCATGGATTTCCTCTTGTGTGACCTGCCTGTCTTTTTCTTGCTGATTTCCCAAAGTCCCCTTTATATTCTGGATGTCCCACCTCTTGTCATTTCAGGCATGGCAAATATTTCCCAGCTGTCACCTCTGTTAACTTTGTGGATGTGGTCTTTTGTTAAATAGAAATTGTATGTTTTGATGTGTACATTGTCATCAACATTCTCCCCTGAGGTTTGTGCTTTTGAAGTTTTATCCAAGAAGTCTTTCTGCATTCTTAGGTCACATAGTATATTTTACAGTAAATTAACAGGTCACCAGTTAATTTACATGATTTCCTTTTATATTAAGGTCTTTAACCTGCTTGGAGTTATCATTTATATGTGGTGAAAGGTAGGGCTCCAGCTTATTTTGTCCCTGTTTTGCTAACTCCATTTACCTTTCGGGCCTCATAACACAACCCAATATCTGGCAGGTAAAGCCCATCTTCTCTACTCAACTTTTACAGAAATTTTTTAGCTATTTATATTCTTTTTAATTTTATTTTTTCAATTACTGTTGCCATTAGTGTTATATTTTATATATTTTCAAGTTTATAGCATACTGATTAGACATTTATATAACTTGCAAAGTGATCCCTTTAATAAATCTAGTATCCACCTGGCACTGTACATAGTTATTACATTATCATTGACTATATTCCCTATGCTGTACTTGACATCCTTGTGAATATTTTGTAGCTGCCTGTTTGTACTTCTTAATCCCTTCACCCCCTTCACCCAGCCTCCCAAATTCCCTCCCATCTGGCAACCATCATTTTTCTCTGTATCTGTGAGTCTATTTCTATTTTGTTTGTTCATTTATTTTGTTTTGTAGATTCAACAAATATATGGTATTTGTCTTTCTCTGTCTGACTTTTATCATTTGGCATAATACCCTCTAGGTCCATCCATGTTGTCTCAAATGGTAAGACTTCATTCTTTTTATGGCTGAGTAATAGTCCACTCTACTTATGTACCACATTTTCTTTATCCAGCCTATTGATAAACATTTGGGTTGCTTCCATATTTTGGTTACTGTAAATAATGCTGCAATAAACATAGGGATGCGTGTATCTTTTCAAAGTAGTGTTTTGGATGTCTTCAGATAAATACCCAGAAGAGGAATTACTATGTCTTAAGTAGCTCTACTTTTAATTTTTTTTCCATAATCTCCATACTGCTTTCCACAGTGGCTGCACCAATCTACATTCCCACCAACAGTGCACAGAGGGTTCCTTTTCTCCACATCCTCATCAACACTTGTTATTTGTTGGCTTATTGATGAGTTATTCTGACAGGTGTGACATGATATTTCCCCCTCTGCAGAACTGGTTTAGATACTCACAGAGCCTTAATCTTTGATATAGATATTTCTTTATAGAGATATAATTGACATGCTATAAAGCTTACCATTTTTAAAAAAAGATTTTATTTCTTTTAGAAAGAGTGGTAGGGAGGGAGAAAGAGAGGGTGAGAAACATCAACATGAGAGAGAAACATAGATTGGTTGCCTCTTACATGCTCCCAACCAGGTACCAGGCCCTCAACCCAGGCATGTGCCCTGACCAGGAATCAAAAGGACAGTCTGCCTGACCTTTTGCATTGCAGGAGGACACTCAACCAACTGAGCTACGCTGTTCAGAGCTAAAGCTCACCATTTTAAGGTGAACAACTCAATGGTTTTTAGTATGTTTGCTAAGTTGTGCAACCATCACCACTATCTGATACCAGAGCATTTTCACTACCTCAAAGAGAAACCCTGTACCCATTAGCAGTTTCTCCCCCATGTCTCTGGCAACCACTAATCAGCTTTCTATCACTATAGATTTGCTTATTCTGGACATTTCACATACAGTATGTGGCTTTTTGTGTCTGGCTTCTTGAAGTTAGCATATTTTCAAGTTTCATTCATATTGCAGCATGTATCAGTGCTACATTTCTTTTTATGGGTGAGTAACATTCCAATGAATGGATATACACCTCATTTTGTCTATCCATTCATCAGTTGATGGACATTTGGGTTGTTTCTACTTAATGGTTACTATGAAAAATGTTGCTTTTAACATTCATGTACAAGTTTTTGTGTAAACTCTTTATATATGTTTAAAAAATAAGTTTTATTGGTTTTCCTTAACATATTCATCTGAGATTTAAATTGAGGTTATACTAAAATTATATATTAATTTGGATGTCATTGAAATCTTTAGAATATGAAATTGTCTCATCCAAGAGTGTCAAATGTGTCTTGATTTATTCAGATAATCTTTTGTACCTTTTAATGAAGTCTTAACATTTTCTCTATAGAGGTCTAATATATCCCATTTATACTAGTTTTCTATTATAGTGTAACAATATTACCACAAACTTCTTGGCTTATAACAACATACAACAACATCATCTTATAGTTTTTGTGGGTCAGGAGTCAGGGTGTTGCTTAACTGGATTCTCTGGTCTCACAAAGCTGAAATGAAGGTGTTGTCTGGGGCTTCAGTTTCATCTGAGGTCTGAATGGGGAAGGATTTGCTTCCAAACTCAGGTTGTGGGAGGAATTTAGTTTTTGTGGTTGTTGGACTGAGGGCTTCAATTTCTTGCTGGCTGTCTCCTGGAGGCCACCCTTTGTTCCTTACTGCATGAGGTTCCACAAAGTGACCACTTGCTTCATCCAAACCAGCAAGGGCGTGAAAGTCTCTTCCTTTGAAATGACCAGGTGTCTGTCTCAAATTCATTTTTAACATAATTACATACATGCATTCATGTGTATCTGGTCCCCTTTAGTCATGCATGCACTCAAGGATGTGAATGCCAGAAGGCAAGGACCGTGGGAGCCACCTTACATGTGTGTCCATCACACTATCCTTGGTTATATAATCTTCAGGTTCATAAGTACATAAGGATTTTCATTGTAAAGTTGTTTGTAATACTGAGGAGATAGAGGCAGGTATTATCAGTGGATTAGATATACTCACAGCAAAATAAATGGGTCTTTCTTTTCTTTATTTTAATTTTTGGCATGTTACCATACTTCATTTTAACTCCAAAATAAAAATATCTTTATTTTTATCTGTTGCATACTCATTGAAACATTTTTTCAGACAACAAAGAGAGCATAAAGGAGAAAGTGACATATCATTAGTTATCTCCTTACCCATACATAACCACTAACATTTCCTTCCCAACGTTTTTTGCCCCAATGGATACACAAATTTTACCAAAGTTTTTTCCCCCCTTTGACATATCATTTTAAGTAGCTTGAAATCCTTTCTGGAACAATGTATGGGTAAAACTTACCTATGTATATACCTGTCTATGTAGCTATGGGAAAAGAAGTAGATACAGATTGTAAAATAAAGACAGGGATAGCAGGAGGGCTGTGGAGATAAAGGGAGAGAAAGAGTCAGAGGCAAGGAGAGAGGGATGGGAGAAGGAGACAGAGACTTATGGGCACAGGACAAAGAACCACGGAGAGCCATAGAGAGATGAAGATAATAGGAAAGAGACAAGGACAGCATGAAAAGGATCATTTATTGAGCTCCTACTAAATGCCATTTTTATTAAAATTCCAAAGTCACTATGTGAAGCAGTTACTAGTTACGCAGGTGAGGAGTTGAGCCTTAGAACGGTGAACTGACCTGTCCATGGTCACATAACTTGGACTGAATTTACGGACCTGTAAAGGGCCGCTTCCATAGAGGTGAGTGGTAAACTGTTTATCCAGTGAACAGTCATTTATCTCTTCTTCAAGGCAGAAGAGATGGGAACCAGATCCCCATTTCACTCAGCTGAGTCAATCTGTCCTGTCTGCGAAGGCGACAGCAAGGTCTGTTGCCCGGACAACTGTCCTCCAAGTGCCATGGTAACCGCCATCACAGTCCCCAGCTCTCCACCTTGCCCCTTGGGCATCTCCAGGGTGACCGGCAGAACAGAAAAGCAGCGCGAGCTCCAAGGATGCGCCTGCGTAAGGGGGTGGGCAAGGGATGGCAAGGGGCCCGGGAGTGCGCAGCCGCGCAGAGCACCGCAGCCTGGCCCTGTAGCTCAGGCTCTGCGCATTTGCCAGCCAGTCCGCCTGCCCGGAGCCCGGCTCGCGAGGGCAGCATGGCGGGATCGCCACTGCTCGGCGGGCCGAGGGCCGGGGGCGTCGGCCTTTTGATGCTGCTCCTGTTAGGATTACTTCGGCCTCCCGTGGCTGTCTGCGCACGGCCGGTAAAGGTGCGACCCGGTAGGGTAAGGGGTGGGGGGCGGGGAGGGGGAGAATGCTTCCTCAGCATCTCCTGTCCCAGCCCCGGGGAGGTGCGGAGACACTGGCCAGGATGGCCCGGGGTCCCGCAGCCAGTTCGCGCCCAGGCCATGCCAGCGCCCCCGGGGCCGGGCTTGGTCTCTGAGTGTGCGGGTAGAGGTATCCTGGGTTTGGCCAGCAACTGCGCCCTGCCCATTCCTCCCGCCTGGCGCCGGTGGCGCTGTCCATTGGCACTGGTGCGAATTAAGGAAGGGAATAAGCGCATCGATTTGTGTGCGGGCATGATGTGATGTGATGACGGGGTGGGGGTGGGGCAGTGAGGGTGGGCTGTCCTTGTAAGTGTGTGTCCTTTGATGTGAGCGCTTCCAAGCGTCCATACAAAAATGTCATTATAGTTCTAGGTGTGCAGTGTGTGTGATGCTAGGGCTGCTTCTGTGTGTAGTTTCGCAGTAACACCGTGTGCATGTTTGTGAATTCTGTAGCGATGACGTGACCTTTGGGTGTGTCTGTGTTTGTGTGTGTGTGTGTGTGTGTGTACGCGCGCGCGTGTGATTCCATTTTTGTTTGGGAGGGCGTGATCTTTGCTTCACCATCTGCACATCCCATTTTGGTTCTGTTGGACTGAGTGACTAGGATTTTGTGTGTGTTCATGAGGCTGTTTCTCCCTGTTTCTTTGTGGAGCTATGTCATTGTGGGAAGAGGAGCCATACTCTCTCTGTGCTGCATCGTGTCTTTAAGGGGGTGGTGTGTGGCCTTGCATGTGGATAGTTTGGCGATTGTAACTGCACGAGCAGCCGTGGGTGAACGTGTGCATTGTTCGATTGCCTATGTGACATCTTGAGGCCTGTCAGTCCATGTGTGTATGTGTGTGAGGCTGTGATTGCTGGTGAGCATGATTCCATAGGGGCTGAGGGGTGGTGGGTGCCAAGGGCACTTGGCGCACATCCTCCTCTAACTCTTCAGAACTGGAGTATTTAAAAACTATGAAATATTATATATGACACAATATAGTTAAGATATATGTGCAATATAAGGAATAATGATAAAATAACTCCCATGGGTATTTATTACTCCGTTTAAGAAATAGAGTGTGACCAATATTTAGAAGCCCATGGTACCCCTCCCCACGTAAGCCCCTTTCCTCCATAAACATTATCCTCTATTTTCTGTTCATTGATCCCTTACTTTTGTTTATACCTTATGACATACACAGTATCTTGCTCAGTTTTTTCTCATAGAAATGTAACCATATTGGTGTCTGGCCTCTGGTTGTCACTAGGGGTCACTAGGGAGTCATCAGGTGACTGTTAGTCGCAGGCAGTCTGCAGTGCAATTTTGCAACCTGCTTTTCTTGTTTTTCTCTCTACACTGGTTGTAAGATACCTCAACATTAAAGTGTGTGGCTATAATTCATTTTATAGTGCTGCAAAATATTTTATCCTATGAGTATATCATTAGTATATGAGTATATCATGCTTTATGGATGCACTCTCAATATGTCAGTAGACATTTGGGTTGTTTCTAGGCTTTTCTTCCCCCCCCCCTTCCTCTACTTTTTAAAAAAATATTTTATTTATTTCCAGAGGACAAGAGAAAGGGAAAGAGAGGGAGAGAAACATCAGTGTGTGGTTACCTCTTGCACACCCCCTTACTGGGGACCTGGTCCGAAACCCAGGCATGTGCCCCGATTGGGAACTGCACTGGTGACCATTTGGTTTGCAGGCCCGCGCTCAGTCCATTGAGCCACACCAGTCAGGGCCCTTCCTCCACTTTTATACTATTACAAACAGTGCTGCTGTAAATGCTAATGAACTTGTGTCCAGTAGCATATGCACAAATGCTACACTGGAGTATAACACCCCAGAAGTGGGTCATAGGAGATGCACATCTTTTTAGACATTGCCAAAATGTTCTTCAAATTTATTTTGGCAATTGATTGCCAATGGGCAATGTATAAGAGTTTCCATTTTTCCCATATCCATGTCAACATTGGGCATTTTTAGAGTTCTTAATTTGTTAGCAATCTTTTGGCTATATTATGCATAGCATCTCACTGACATTTTAATTTGCATTTCCCTGATTACTAATGAAGTTCACTATGTTTCATATATTTAGTAACTGCTTTTGTTTCCTTTTTGTGAAATACTTGATCATGAATTTTGCCTGTTTTATTGCTTTTTAGACATTCTTTGAATATTGGATACTAATCTTTTATTGATGGTTTGTATTGCAGGAATCTTCCCCTACTCTGATTTCCTCTTCATTCTTTTTATGGTGTCTTCAGACAAAAAGAAATTCTTAATTTTAATGTAGTCATTTAAAAAAAACAATCCGCCCTGGCTGGTGTAGCTCAGTGGATTGAGCTCGGGCTGCAAACCAAAGTGTCGCAGGTTCAATTCCCAGTCAGGGCACATGCCTGAGTTGCAGGCCACGGCCCCCAGCAACCGCACATTGAAGTTTCTGTCTCTTTCTCCCTCCCTTCCCTCTCTAAAAATAAATAAATAAAATCTTTTAAAAAGTAAAAAAAAACAATCCTCACCTAAGGATATATTTTTATTGATTTGATTTGAGAGAGAGAGAGAGAGAGAGACATCAGTGTGATAGAGAAACATTGATCAGTTGCCTCCCATATGTTCCCAGACTGGGGATTGAGCATGCAACCTAGGTATGTGCCCTGACCGGAATCAAACCCGCAACCTCTTGGTGTACGGGAGGATGCTCCAACCAACTGAGTCACCCAGGCAGGGATGATGTAGTCAATAATGTAGTCATTATTTGTCTTTCCTTTTTCATTTCCTCAAATTTGGATCAGTTGTTCCTGTATGATTTATTGGAGTTCGACCTGTCCCCATCGCTCTCCAGTGCCACCTCTGTCATGTAGCCAGTGTCAATATGTGTGGATCTGTTTCTAAGCTTTGTTCAATCCTGTTATTTCCTGTGCTGTGTCTAACCTTCTGTTTAACTTGCCCTTTTAATTTTTAATTTTATTTAAAATATATCTTTAGATGTTCTAGATGTTTCTTTTTCAAATCTTCGTTCATGGTCAGTTTTATGTCCTGGCTTGTACTTTTGATACCCTCTTTTACTTATTTAAACTTACTGAAATTGTTTCAAAACTCTCTGAACTGCTAATTAGTCAATTTATTCTAAAGACAGACTTGTATACATGCCAAATGATATATAACATCGTTATTCATTCTAGCATTGTTTATAGGATAGCAAAAGATTGGAAACACCCTAAATGTTCGTTAGTTGAAGACTGGTTAAGTAAAGAAGACTTGTACACACACACAAAGTGTATTCAATGCAGAAGACTAAAGGAAGAGAGAAAAAAGGAAAAAAGAAAGTTTGTTTTTAAGGAACTGGTGTAGATATAGATTTCAAAAAGCAAGGTGTGAACAGTCTGGTACCTCTTAGGTAAAACAAGTGGACAATAAGAACCTATAAAATGCAAACATATACATTCCTATTGTCCATAATATTGTCGTAGAAAAATTTATAGCTGACATATCTACCATTGCCCCTCCTATAAAGAAACCTTGTGTCCAGAAGTCCTGAGGCAAGTTCTCAGTCACTAGGAAATTGTGTGTGTGGTGGGACGGGGCGCGGGGAGGTACTTGGGGTCTTTTGTGGTCTTAAATGTATATGGAGATATTTGGGGGTCTCCAGTGGTCTTAGGGGTACCTGGGTATATATGAGGGGGCCACGGTGCCTTTGGAGACCCCCATGTTGGAGGTCCCTGGCCTGACGGGCGCCGTCTTTCCTCCTACATCGTTTTTCGGCAGGAGCCCCGACACCTGGGCGCAGCCTCGCCGCCCTTGGGGGAGGCTGGCGCTCCCCGCCGCTTTCGGCGGGCAGCGGCCCGGGGCGAGGCAGTGGAGGTCGTGCAGGAGCTGGCGCGGGCGCTGGCGCACCTGCTGGAGGCCGAACGGCAGGAGCGAGCGCGTGCCGAGGCGCAGGAGGCCGAGGATCAGCAGGCACGAGTACTGGCGCAGCTCTTGCGCGTCTGGGGCGCTTCTCGCACTACCGACCTGGCCCCGGCCCTGGAGGACGATCCTGACGCGCCCGCTGCGCAGTTGGCCCGCGCCCTGCTCCGCGCCCGCCTGGATCCTGCAGCCCTCGCAGCACAGCTGGTTCCCGCCCCTGTCCCCGCCACTGCACTCCGACCCAGGCCCCCAATCTATGACGATGGTCCAGTGGGCTCCGAGGCCGAGGATGCCGGTGACGACACACCAGATGTGGACCCCGAACTGCTAAGGTAGCTGACCCGGCATGGGTGGGAGCCTGCATCCTGGGGTGGAAGTGAGAACGCCTGTGTGTTCTGAGGGAGTGAGGCCCTGGACCTAGGGTGTGGGGATAGAGATTCCTGGCTGGTGGGTTATTGGGGGACGTGCACTCGGGCCCAGGGATGGGGACTCCCAAGCCGGGTTTCTGGGGGGCAGGATAGGGAGGCGGGGACATTTTCTCAAAGCAATGGACTGGGAAAGGCGGGTCCCCAGACACTATGGGGTTGAAGGGCCACCTGGGTCCTAGGGCCCGGGCGTTGACACGCCCACATAGCCTCACTGCATCGGTTCTGCTCCCCTGCAGGTACTTGTTGGGTCGGATCCTTACGGGAAGCGCGGATTCAGAGTCTGTGGTTGCCCAGCGCCGCCGCCTCCGCCGCGCCGCCGACCAGGATCTGGGTCCTGATGTACCCCCTGAGGGTGTGCTGGGGGCCCTGCTGCGCGTGAAACGCCTGGAGACCCCCGCACCCCCAGCACGCCGCCTCTTGCCTCCCTGAGCACCGGCGGGATCCTGCGCGCCCTTGGGTCCGGAGCCGCCCCTCCCCCACCACCCCGACTGCTCTTCGCCGGCAAGACTGTGCCCCCGCCGGCGAGGGCCCATTGTCGCCCCTCTCCTGACACCCCCGCTGCTCTTGGTCGGCACGTCCCCACCAGCCTCAGTTGCTGCCCTAGGAACTCCCCAAGATCCCAACCCCTGGCCCCACAATAAATGTTCTGAAGCAGCTATGCACAGGACTGTGAGTTGCAGTTTCTAGCGGCTGGGTGGTGATGGCAGTCCTTAGATCTGAAGAGTGGCCCCTGACCTTGGTCCGGCTCTTTAGAGACCCCCTCCCAGCATGTGCCTCAGTGGCAGCGCCCACCCAGATCCTGAACCCCATTTCTAGGCTTCACTCAGGTATGGGGAGCCCCTTTCAAGGGCCTGCAGCAGCACCTTCCAGGGTCCATCCTAACACCAAGTGGCTGTTAGTGAAGTGTGAGTAGAGCCTTGGCCATGCTGCCTGGCGCTTCCACCTGCACCAGAGTGCCTTATGTGGGGAGGGGCGACCGGGGTGAGAGAGTGGACTGCAAAGCCAAGTCTCAGCCTTCCCAACCCACTCATATCCTGGCATGAAATTCTGAATACCAGAAGTTAGAACCTGGACCTCCAGGTCATTAAGAAAGTTATTTGTCAAGGGAAGAGGATAGAACATATCTTTCTTTACATTTGTTAGCTTGATTTGCAACACTTAAATATTCATTTCTATTGTATAGAGGCCACTCTATCTGTACTCCTACATAGTCCTGAAGATATTGGGAGTTTAAGTGTTGGTAGCTGGTTCGTGATCATGGTCTTTGCACCTGCTATTTATTCCCTGTGCCTAGTTATCTGCGTTTTTTGCTCAAATGTCACCTACTCAATAAGGCTTCCCATCACCTGCCTTTAATATATAGCTTTATGTAGTATGTACAAGTGTAGGGATTTTCTTGTGTCTTGTGTGACTCTACCTCCTTTGCACCCAAAGCAGGACCTGGCACACTGTAGGCTCCCCCACATTTCTTGAATGAAAGAGTTCTCACAATTCAAGTAATATTCTCACCAGTTTCACACCCACCCACATAATGCTGGGCATGGAGGCAGCTTTGAAACCTGAGAACATTTATTTTGTTTTGCACAAAATCTCTCAACCTGACAGAACATAACCAACAGTATGTTCCACATTAACAAAAAGCCCATCACCAAATTGAAAACCTCCCCAGAAGAGGGGTCCATCGATCCCAAGTACACCCAGTGTCTCACAGCTACTTGCTTGGTGTTGTCATATCAAGGAAGCATCACCCTGGCCTGGGGGATGGTCCACTTTTCTTGACCAAGACCTTCAGGCCACAGAACAGCCACAGTGGCACATGGTCTTATGGTGCCGGGACTTAGCCCCACCTGATGCTGCCTCAGCCTCCCGGACCCTTTGGATCTCACGGATGAGCAGGGTAAAGGCCTCCTCCACACCTTGCCGTGTTTTAGCTGAGGTCTCCAGGAAAGGGGCCCCCCAGCTCTTTGCGAGGGCTATAGCAGCAGCATGAGTATCTCCTTTGGTGGTCACAAGGTCGCACTTGTTGCCCACAAGGACAAGGGGCCGGGAATAGTGAGGGCCCCAGGTGGCCCGCATCTGCTGCAGCTGGGTTAGAGATGAGGGGTCATCGAGGGCAAAGACACACAGCACACCATCCCCAGCAGCCAGGCATTGGTCACGTAGGGCCTTATGAATGGTCTGCCCAGCTGTATCCAACACATTCAGAATGCAGCCTCCTTGGTCCAGGGTCACCTCCTTCCAGTAGGAATCCTGGATTGTCGGGTCATAGTCTTCCACAAAGCACTCATGGTTCAGCTGGATGGTCAGTGCACTCTTGCCCACACCACTTGCACCCACAACCACTGCCTTATACTCTGGCAGCTTGCCAACAGCCCTGGAAGGTGCCTGAGCACTGTGGCTCTCCTGTTGGGCACTTGCATTCCATGTACCCAGGCCCAGATCAAACACATTAGACTTTTTTGGTGGCGCCATGCTCAGGGAAGAGATGTGGACAGCAGGCCCTGCAAGTAGGAAGAGAAGAAAGCAATGGCAGAAGGAAGGGAGGCATAGGTTCGGCTAGGCGAGGACACCATGTGGGCAAGGGGGCAGCTGGTGTAAATGAGTCAACATTTACTGAGTGCCAAGTGTGTGCTAATCACCTAATATGCTATATACAGTACTTATGCTGTTAGTTCTTTTTCTCTCATTCCCTTGTACAACATAAACTCTGTGAAGGCAGGAATTTTAAAAACAGCTTCATTGAGATATACTTTAAAAGTTAACCTAGTTAAACTGGACAATTCAATGTCTTAGTATACTAACAAAGTTGTGTAACCGTCACCATAATCTGAGAACTTTTTCTTAACCCCCAGAAGGAACCTCCTACCCATTAGCTGTCCTGCCCCATTCTGGAGGGATGGCACAGATTTCATCGATAACCCCGGCCCAGCACAGTGCCTGACATACAGTAAATGCTAAGCAAATTCCTGGGCCCAGGGAGTGTATGTTCTAAAAGGTGGAGACAATGAACCAAATAAATAAGTGAATTATGAGGTCTGTGAGCCATTATCTTAAACTCAGTCTTTATTACTTATTCAACATACTGCTGCAGGGAACCTACTGTGTGGCAAGGTGGGGGAAAATAGAAAACCCTGGCCCTCAAAGCATTTGCCGATCTAGTCAGGAAGACAGACAACAACAAAGATATTTCAGCAACAGGTGATAAGCATGCAGAAGGTGCTTGGTTGATGTTAGCATTTTACTTATGATTTAAGTTTCATTCAATACTTGAAGAAGATTCCGGTAAGCCAGGCATTGTGATGGGTGTGGGGATGGGAGGGGTTGGGAGGTGTGGGGTGGGGATGTGGCAGTAAACAAAATAAAGTCCCTGCCCTTAGGAGAATTAGATTCTACAAGTGAGAAAGAGACAATAAACAAGATAAGCAAGTAAATCACCAAGCAATTAGAAGAGGATGGGCACACAGCAGGCGCTCAATGAGTGTTAAGCTATTAATAGCAAGTCGCCATTAACTCATTCAATACACATCCTGATCTTAGTTCAATGTGTGGCCCTCAGGAAATGCATCTTAATAGCCGATACCAGTCTCCCCGGAAACCTGGGGGCAATGGCAGTTTGCGAGTAGATGGGGCGGGGATGGGTTCAAGTGTCTCTGGGGGTTTCTGTTGAGTTTGGGCCCTGGAGGTCACAAGGGGAGAGAAAGGTCTGGTTGTGAGGTACTCAGCCAGGAGAGATTCCTGAAAAGTTGTTGGATGTGCTCGTTCAGAAAGGGGGCCATGATGAGGAAAGAGGTAAACAGGACATAGTTCTGGGGGTCCCCAACATTGGGGAGACAGAGAGAGGGAGAAGATACAGCTATGGGGACAAACTGAGAGGAGGGGGTGAGAGGGTGGAAGCAGTGAGGCCACTGCAGTAGTTCAGGTGGGCCACGGTGGTAGATGTGGAAAGGGGAGGTCAGAATCCGGAATATTCTGAAGGTAGACTTAACTGGCAGGATTTATGGAGACTTTAAGAGACAGGGGAAGGGGTCAAGGATGACTCCTCAGTTTTGGGCCTGGGCAGACGGAAATCTGAGGGTGCCCTTATTTGAGGGTGAGGACATATGAGATGGGCTCTTCCCTCTTGGCAGATTGCCATAATCCTAAAAGCACTAGGTATTTACTGAGAACCTAGCTCGTGCCAGGTGACCCTCCTGCAATGCTCATACTCAGTCCCCCTAACACTCTGGTGAGGCATGGACTATCTATCACCACCATGGTCACTGTATCAATGAGAAGCACCTGGCGAGATTCGGAGAACTGAGGGGATGGTGACTGGCCTGAGGTCCCACAGTCCATCAGAGATCAACAGCAGAGCGGTCTCATGGTCCCAAGTAATATAGAACCATTTGCTGTGCCAAGTGCTACTAGAGTGTCCTTAAGAGGCCCTTAAGATCCTGAGATTCACCTCTTCACCCCAAGCCGCTGCACCCCACCCCCACCCCTGCTGCCTGGACCACATCACATCCATTGTGTGTCCTTTGTGTTAGTCTAACTACCTGAAGGGGGAAGGGGTTGGGGGTGGCACAGATTCGGGGAGCGTGGGGGTCCAGCCTAATGTGAGCCCTTACAACAATCCCCCTTTCAGGGCTAGCCCAGAACAACCTCAACTATGTTTCCCGTAACTAAGTCAGGTGCTATGGAAAGTTTGGGACAGAAAGTGACTCCCAAGTTTCACCCTAAAACCCTGACCCTACAGTCAGTCTGGGCCATCTCAGCCAGTTTTTCTTTAGCAGGGATGGTGTATGGCATGGGAAGGGACCCTCCACCCCAAGGCTGGGTCCGTGGGTCCGCAGTCCCGCTTCTGGCCCAGCACGGCCTGTGGCGCAGTTCCGGCTCCACAAAGCGGGCGGCTGAAGGGGCCGGGATGTGATGACCGGCCCTACAGAAAAGAGTGGTGGAAGGCGAAGGGTACCGCAAACCCCACCTTGGTCGCGCCCTCAACAGCCCTAGGTGGAGAACCCTCCCAGGCTGGGTCTGGTCTGAGGGCCCATCCGTCTGGCTCACCTTGGTCCTGAGAGAGGAGGTTGCGCTGAGACCCGAACTCACCGCAGCTCTGACAGGACCGATAGGGGGAGAAGTGCACCAGTCCCAGAGGAGGAGGAGGAGGAGGAGGGGGCGGGGGCACGCATGCGCTAGTGGCCGCCCTAAGGGTCCCTCTACTGGCACACCCCCTCTCCTCGACCGACCCCTTCCCGCCCCAGGGTGAGCGCGGGTCTTCTCCCAGCCTGTTGGTGGCGCCAAGGAAGTCTGATTGGGGCGCTGACTGGGGCCAGACCTCTCCACATGCCTTCTGTATCCTGCTGCACCTCACCCTTACCTTGCCCCTATCAGGGCTGCGGTTTCGGGTTTTTAGTGTGTGTGAGGTGTCGTACTTCTGACCTGAGTGGCCAGACTTTGGGAAATGTTTTGAAAGGGCCTCTTCGAAGCCATGAGGTCTATGCTGCCTCAAGCAGGCTTTTTGGTAGCTTGGGAGAGGGCTGTGTCTGTTCCTGCAGGGAAAGTGGTGCCAGAGAAGAGGGTTTTGTCTATACTGGAGGGAAAGAGGTGCCAAAGAGCGTTGTGTCGGTTCCTGGAGGGAAAGAGTAGCAGAGGAGTGGTTATTCTGTCAGGGCAAAAAACCTGGGATGAGGTGGACATGTGCCAAGCCTAAAACATTTCCCAGACTCCCTTGCAGCTATGACAATCATGTGAGAGTTCTGATCAATGATATGTAAGCAGGGGTGGGGCATCCAGAATGCTTCTGAAAAGGATGGACTGAGCTGGCCACAGCTCCCTTTCCTTTCTTCTTGACTAGGTGGAGCTCTAGTGGTCATCTTAGGATCATAATGTGGCCATGAAGTCCAGGAAACCTCAGCCCTTGACTCCTTTGAGTTGCCAAATTAATTCTCATGTGGGACAAATAAATCTCCAAAATCATCCTCTCCAATTCTCCACCCCTGGTTCATAGTAAGCACTTCTCCAAAGAAGCTACCTATGACTACCGAATTGAAATATGTTAAACGTGGACACCCACCTTCTCCAAATCAGGACAAAAAGATAGATGGGGAGACTGAGGACTGGTAAGGATACTTCCTGATAGTTTTCTTACCTTCTCAGCCCAGGGTACAGCTGGGACTGGCTGTGAGGTTCCTATTTCTAAGGCACTCATTTTCTTACAGATTCCACCATTGAATCTATATTGCAGCCTGTCAAGCTACTTGCTCTATTTCCAGTTGGATTTTTGGGTACTGGCTGGGCATGGGGTTGACCTGAAAAGACCCATTCCCTCATTTCTTCTATACTCATCAGCCCTGTCAACCAGAGTATGGGGTCCTCCACCCACTTAAGATTAAAAGGCTTTCTCCAGCTTTTGTAACAGTTTGTACTTTATTACATATGCAACCCCACCACACCTGGCAGTTGGTTCCTCCTCCCTCCAAAGTGTCATCTTGATATGAGTCTCCTCTTGGGGCCACTGAGCTATATCCCCTTTCTTTTTGGGGCAGAGGCGATAAATTCCCTGGAGTAAGCAGTGGGCAGGGGGAGAGCTATAATTCATCAACATTGTCCTCTGACAGGTATTTAAACTTAAATCAGCACCCTTGGGGAATTATAAAGAGTTTTCAGGAGGGATGGAGTGAAGCTGCCCCTCATCCAAGGAACAGATTGGAGTGAACTAAGGCTGGTCTATCTTGGGCCTTAGAAGGTGAAGAGGAGAATGTTCTAGGAGTTAATGTGAGTGGGGCATGTCTTCCCCAAACTTGTTCTGGTGGGCGATGTTCTTCACATCTAGGAGAGCCTGAGGAGGAGGAAAGACAGGGTAGGTAAGAGAGTGAGGACGCCCTTTACTTCAGCCAGGAGACTGCCCCCACTCCAGCCTTCTACCACCCTGTCTCTTGGACTATCCCTCATGCAGTAGGGCCTTCATTCTCCCCCTACCTATTTACAGAAGGTGTGTGTGGGGGGTCAGTGTGTACACATTAGAGGGTCTGCCCAGCACCCACCTGGTGGTGAACATAGGCCTGACATCCATAACACCAGGTAGACAGGTCAACGTAGCTGAGGACCAGTGGGTGTCCTGAGCTTTCGTGGTGCTGGAGCATATGGGCATTGATGTAACGGCTGCAGTAGACCTGAGATCAGGAAGAGAATGTTGGGCAGGGATCAGCACCCACCTGTGGTTTTTTCCTGGGCCAATCCCAGCCCCAACCCCTTCCTCTACTGCATACCTCATAGCAAGACAGACATGTCCAGTTCTCCTGGAGTGCTCCACACTCCTGACAAGGTTGGGTCACATCCAGGCCTCCTTCAGGAATGGGACATACTGCCACCAAATGGGGACACCAGAGCAGCGGTGTCACAGCATAAAACATAGCCTGCGTGGGTGAAACTGAGTAAGCTAGGGATTTATCTCTCCATTATATGTTCCTGAATCACATGCTCCTACCTGGAGGCACAAATGGGCAAAAGAAGGACACCAGAGTTCCATCCACTCCCTGAGCTCACCTGGTCAATGTCCCCAAAGGCCTGCATTGAATCATCTATGTTCTGATCTCCAGCTGTCTCTCCTAGTAGCCTCTCTTCTGCAATCTGAGACTCTGGGGCCTCCTAGACACACAGGGCAAGAGATGTATCTGAGAGTCCTGATTCTTGTCCCTTCTTCCCTCTACCTGGGTGTGGTGATGGGCCTTACCTGAGCCTTGTTGCCTAGTTCCAAGGTCCTAAGATTCCCAACCAGCGGACTGTGGGATATTTGGGGTGTGGCTCCTTGCACAGGTGAGGTTGGAGGAGTCTGGCTGTTAGCACATGAGGCTTGAGGGGTTTGAATTAGCACAGCTCCTCCCACAGGCTTCTCTGAGGTGGTCTGGTCCAGCGTGGCTCCCCCTGAGGCTGCCTCTGAGGTAGTCTGGTCCAGTGTAGCTGCCTCTGAGGTGGTCTGGTCCAGCATGGCTCCCCCTGTGGCTGCCTCTGGAGACTGGTCCTTAGTGAGCTGTACCACAGCTGTCTCTGAGTTAGTCTGGGCTGGAATGGACTCTTGCACAGAGGGTGCTGGGGTAGCCTTCCCCGTGCCTGCATCCAGATTGGACACTTCTAGCATGGTCAGCCTCTCCGTTGATCCAGGACTGGCTGGTTGGATTGCCTCCTTGGTGACTGACGTAGAACTGAAGGGTCCTTCCTTGTCTTCGACCTCTGAAACCATGGGAGGGAGATCCTTGAGTATAGGTGCTATGCCCACTCCTGCCTCTAATCCTTGCCTTTCCCTGAGGCTCCCATTGTCCCCAATTTCCCATAACTACTCACTTGTGGCCCGCAAGCTGCGCCAGTATCTGCGATGGACTTGGATGGTCTCAGTGATTGAGGCCAGGGCCCCTGATAGTGGGGGCCGTGACAGGGTCAGCAGGGGTGGCGGGTCCCCAAGGAGGGTGCGAGTACAGGCAGCCATGGACTCCGAGATGGATGTCAGGTTATAGCCACCCTTTTTAAGGAAAAAAGAGTGAAAAGTATGATGGAGTGTCCTCAGGGAATTTGGGAGGCAAGATGTCCTGCTTCCCGGTCCTGCCTCAGGGCCCTACAAGTCTGGAGGGTGGCAACTGGGGACAAGTGAATGGAATCCACATTGGTCAGTCCCACTGGTTATTGAGGGGGATAAACTGTGACATACAGTGGAAGATAATAATAACCACAATAATGATACTGATAGCAGCATTAGCAATAGCTGCTGCTCATTAAGTGCTTGTTGTACACCAGGCTGTATTCTAAGGACCTTATGCATATTAAATCCAGCCTCAAACCACACATGCTTAATCTGCACAGTAACCTGTATTCACAGTCCAGGAACCCCTGACTGCACTTGCAGAGAAGTCCTGGCCCTAACTAGTAGAGGAGCGAAGGTCGTTCTCTCCACATGAACCCCTGTCCTGACCTGGTATGGGAACACCTTTTTCTCACACTCTATAGGAAACCCAGTCTCTGCTCTCTTTACAGATAAATACACTGAGGCTCAGAGTGCTTAGATGATTTGTCTGAGGTCAGAATGGTTGGCAAAAGGCAGCGCTGGGCTTGGAACCTGGGCTATTTGATGAGAGTCCATGTTCTTAACCACCACCCCACCTTGCCACACACAGTCTGGGCACACTGTGAGACCTTCTACTAGCCTACTAGCCTCTCTGAGACTTATGGTCCTCATTTGTAAAGTAGTGAAAACAAGCACATGAGACTGCTGACAGGATTAAACTAGAGCACGAACAGTGCGTAATAATAAGAAGCTATAGCACTTCCACGGTGCCAGGCACTCTTCCATGATTGGCCAGCCCCATCTTTACACATGAGGAAACTGAGGCCCAGTGGGCAGGGACACTGAGTAATTTACAAAAGGTCACTTAATTTACAAATCTCAGGAACTTGACAGAGGCAGTTCAAGTAGTGGTAAAAAGCAAAGACTCTGGAGTCAGGTTGCTTGGATTCAAGCCCTGGCTCTTCCATTATTAAATGTGTGGCCTCTGGCTAGTCACTGATTTAGAGAGAGGAGAATGATGAGGTCAGCAGATTCCACCTCAGAAGGCTGCTTTGTCAATGAATTAATAATAAAGTGTCAGAAGAATGTCCTGCACATAGTGAGGACTCCATGAATGTTGTTGATGCTGGTGTTGTTATTAATGCCCAGTATGTGCCAATAATTCCATGTGGGGGCACTCAAAGGAGATTTTAGGAAATCACCCCCAGTGTTGTAGCCAGTCAGCAGAAACGGCAGGACTCCCAAGTCTTCCAATCCACCCCTCACAGTAGAAAGGGGGACTGAGAAAGTTACCTCTAGGATGAGGATAATGCGGCCACCAGCAAGGCCCATCAGCAGGTGGGTGAGGTGGGCGTAGCCCTCGGGTGACAGCTGGCAGCCCCCCAGCGGGTCTCTCCATGCGGCATCAAAGCCAGCTGAGACCAGCACCAGTTCTGGGTTAAACTGAGGCAGGGAGAGAAGAAAGGCATGGGCATGAGGCTGGGGGCTTGGGTAGATAGTAGGTGAGGTAGACCCACAGACATGAGATGCAAGTTGGACAGATGGAGACACGGGACTTGGAAGCTGGGAGACAAAGGACCAGAGCCCTGAAACCAGGAAGGGGAGGGTGTGGAGACACAAGACAGAGAGACATGGAGAAGGATAGGCAGTCATGGACACATCACACACAGATTTAGAGACATGAAACACTAGAAAAGGATAGATGGGGACATGAGGCAGAGTCCTGAGATGTGGAGACTCAGCCATCAAGAGATGGTGACATGGGACACAGAGAGACAGAGATATGTCCTCACACACATGCCCAAGGGTGAGATCAAGAGGTACATGCTCCCCTCCCTGGGTCCAACATGCGACATGTGCAAAAGACATGAAGTTTTATACACATGGTGCGAAAGAGAGGTGCAGGCATAGTTCCATTACAGAATATGACAATTCAAGTGCCACACACAGAAGGTGGTCACATACAGCCACATATACTCACATACAATCAGACAGCCCCATATAGACTGAACTACACCTCGTACTAGTCACGCACAGTTTCTCATGGAGGGGACAGTAATCCAGTCACCCCTGCAGACACAATCATACATGTGCCATCACTATCCAGTCACAACAGTCTACAACTGTTGCGTCCACAGGTAGCCACTTACACAGTTGCACACATGATTTCATAGTTACATGCACATAAGGTAGTCACAGCCACTGTGCATCATTAGACACACGTACCATCTTAACTTGCATGGCTGCACAGAGGTCCGAGATGGCACTTTGATCCGCCTTCTGACTTAGTCACACACACACACAATCTGCCATAGACATACAGTTTACACAGGGAGAAGGTGGTTACCTACACTCTTCATACAGAATCAGACAAATATATACAGGCCACCTCCAGTCAGAGAAACAGAGCAGACAGCCCCAGCAGAGAGACAAAAAGATAACTGTCACACACAGCCTCCCACACGTAGAAAGACACACTGGCTGTCATAGAAAGAGCACCCATCACAGAGAAGTAGTGGTAGAAAGAGCCACCCATGCAGAGTCTCACACACATACTCAAACCCCTCCCCACCTTGCACATAGTTCCATTGAAATGGCAGCCATACAGGACCACTATCACATACAGACACTGGTGACAGTGTACACCCAGAACACACACAGCCAGGAATACAAAGACTACCCTCGCACACCCAGAAGTCTCTCACAGTTGCATACAGAGACGGCAGTCACATATGCAAAGGCCATCACAGAGTCACCCATTGCCACTAGTCTCACAAGATCAGTCACCCAGAATTCAGACACATGTGCCCTCTCTGCTACCCACACAGCTGTGTTGCATACATCCTGAAGCGTACCTCATAGGCAATGGGGAGCACCAGACGATGCCAAGCAGCCAGGTACTCGGAGTCACCCATGCGAGGCCCATTCCATGCCACATTGACTGTAAAGCCCGTGCCTGCAGACCGGCCCACCTGGTTGCTGGCGCCCTCATCCCCCATGGGAAAGAAGGTGCCATGATCATAGCGGTGCAGGGAAATGTAGAGCACACTGCCAGAGACAGGGTGGGGAGGGGGACCATGCCTGGTTAGTAGCCTGGCACCCCTGAAGCATGGCCCACCCATCTCCCTGGCCGTATTCCACCCCTTCCCTAGCCCCTCACCTGGGGTCCTCCTCAAATATGTGCTGAGTTCCATTACCATGATGCACATCCCAGTCCACAATCAGGATCCTGGGGAAGGATAGCTTCTCAGTTACCCAGGACACTGGCCCCCCGGGGAGAAGGCGGGGGCCAGACCCCTTGGCCTGTCTGCAGGGGCATCTACATCTATTGTGGGTGGCCACATCCTGGGTCCCTAGGGATAGGGTTGGGTGGCAAACTTGTGGGTCCTATGAAAGTTAGGGTGACAGCTGACCCTGGGTCCTGAACAAGCACTCAGTCAGGGCTAGCCTGAGGCCCTGTGAGAGTAAGCACTGGGGGCTCGGACCCAGGGTTCTACTGGGATAGTCATCAGGGGCCAAAATGCTGGGGGAGGGAGGACCCTGGATCCTGTTTCATAAGCACCTGGGAACCACAGTCTTGGGGGTCCTCTGAGAGGCTAAGCACTGAGAGGCTAGACCCTCAGTCCTTTTTTGGAAAGTGCTGGGCATCTGGACACTTGGGTGTTTCTGGGTAAGTCCTGGGGGGCTGCACCATGAGGTCTGCTGAGTAAGCACTGAGCTGGGGGGCGCAGGGAGCCCTCACCGCAGTGCATGCCCACTGATGGCCTGGGCATGGCGAGCAGCCACAGCCACAGAATTGAAAAAGCAGAAACCACAAGCAGCATCCTGCTCTGCATGGTGGCCGGGAGGACGTACCACGGCAATGCCATTCAAAACCTGGGGGAGGAATGAGGGGCCAAGATCAAACCACTGTGCTCACTGCTTTCCTTCTCCTTATCCCCTTGCCTTTCCTGTTCTCTCTTTCCCGCCCTTCTACTACCAGCTGCTAGGGGAACCCAGCCCTGCAGCCCCAACCTCATGGCTGTACTTCCCAGTAAGCAAGGCCTGTGGTGAGCAGGGGTCTCCTCCCCATCCCTCTTTCCTCAGGCCCTGCCTAATTTTCTCAGAGTAGCCCCTCTGAATCCCCCAGGACTGCCTCTCTGAGCCAGAGCCCCACCCAAAACAGCCATACCTCTCCTGCCAGCACAGCCTCCACAAGACAGCATGAGGCACCAGTGGCCAGCTGTGCACAGGCGAAGGTGCTGGGACAGATGTAGATGGACTCAAAGTTGGCACTCTCGCGGTGCAGCTCCCGGGTTTTCATTTTCTCTGTGGCCCGTAGACGACCCACATATTCAGCACTGCAGGCACAGAGGGAGCACCAGGGAGAGTCAGGTGGTTCTATCCCATCCACGGTCCCTCCCATGACCCCCCCACAGCTTTGTGTACCCAGGCTCCAGCCTCCAGGTGGCATGTATACACTGAGGCCCCATGCCACCCCCAGGCACGAGGGTCTGACCTGTGGCAGGTGAGCAGCTCAGCATCTGTGGCAGGCCGTGCAGGCAGGGTGAGACAGCGCCCGGCAAGGCCCAGCTCCTCCAGACGGCACATGATCTGGGAGACACGCTGGGGTATCTCGGGGTGGTGGCTGGGAGGTGGGGGACAGAGGCAGGGCTTAGTGCTTGAGGACCAGGAAGAATCCCTGCCCACTTAGCCCAGCTCTCCAAACACATACTTGTCCCACAAGTTATAGTGATCCATCATCCGCTGGTCATAGACCAGCCCTGTGCGAGCCTGCAACACTGGCCACATCAGAATTGGGAGCGCTTGGGGTGGCCATGGTCCCTCCTCTTCCTCCTCCACGTTGTACCCCTCCACATGGTCTCCCTCCAGGGTGTCATCTGTAAGGGGAAACCACATTCACCCTACTCTCCCACCCTGGAGCACTGTAATACTCTAGAAACTTGGTTTACCCAAACAAAAAGAGGTAGGAGGCCTGAAACCAGGGCACAGTGAGAGAGGGTCTGACCATCCCTCAGAAAGGCAGCCCAGGAAAATCAGAGTGGGTTCTAGAAGAATCTCTCCACATGGTTCATGCCATGCCTGACCTCCCACTAAGCCTACTCCTTGCCGCCTACCTGATCTCATAAGCGTCTCCCAGAAGGGCTCCAGGGCTTCCAGAGTACAGGACAACGATGACAGGGCACTGGATGGCAGGGGAGGGGGAAGTGTGACCAAATGGCCCCCAGGTAGGCAGTGACGGTCCCTCTTTTCCCCTGCACCACTTGGGCTCACCTTGAGCAGGGGGCACCAGGGGACTCCAGCATGGGGCAAGGGTCACCCAGAAGGGTGTGGAGAGAGGCGCTGACACCCTCAGCCAGGGAGCGAAGGTTGTAGCCACCCTGGGAGAACAGAGTTAGGGGGGTTAGGAAAGAACCAGATGTTATCAAGGAAGAGTAGAGTAATATTAGCACTGGGGTTATGACTGCATGTCAAGCAACAATTTAGAGAGTGACTTCATTTCGTTCACTAAACGGTGCAGTGACATGATTAGTACTAGTATTATGACCCAATTTACATAAAAAAGCAGAGGTACAAGGAAGTTCAGTGACTTAGGTGAGACTGTCCAGTTAGGAAGTGGAAATGCTGGGACAGAAACTCCTGCTGGACTTGGAAACCTTGTTCTCATGCCCTCTAGGATTCATGGACTCAGAGATGAAGGGAGTTACTCACCTCCAGAGACAGGATCAGCCTGCCTCCTGCCAGACCCATGAGCAGGTGGGTTAGCTGGGCAAACCCTGCTGGAGTGGTAGCCATCTCACCCTGGGGGAACATGGAGGGTCAGCCTGGCTCCACTTACCCCCTTCTGCCTACTTGCCATCCCAGAGAACCCACCTTACCTTGGGGTCTCCTTGGAGGGCATCAAATCCAGCGGCCACCAGGACCAGCTGGGGCTGGAACTGAGGGAGGAAAGGACTACATGAGGCCACCTGTCCTCATGGCCCACTCCTCACTGTCACCCCTGCCCCAACATATCCCAGACCCCCAGGACCTCAAGGGCGACAGGCAGCAGGACTTGCAGGAAAGCAGCAATGTAGTCGGCGTCTCGCATCCCCACCTGCAGACAGATGCCCACAATGGTGAGATGGGGGCATTCTGCCCTCTGCCTCAAGCCACTGAAGGGCATGGGTGAGCTTCACTCTCGGGGCAAATGGTGGGCAGACACTGACCTGGTTCCAAGGCACATTGATGGTATATCCCTGGCCTTGGCCAAAACCTATGGTGGACCAGTTAGAGGCTTTCAGGTGGGGCCAGAACCGACCCTGCTCATAGCGATGGATGGAAAAATAGAGCACACTGGGGGCAGAGAAAACAAGAGATCGGGGCGCTGGGGGGCTGTTGAGGAGTCAATCCTGCAGAGACCCGCAACCCACAGTTACCAGTTTTCCTCAACCATTCATTCATTCTCATTATTTTCCCCATTAAATCTTGAATTCATGCATTCACTCATTCTTGCATTTTATGTACCCATTATTTCCCACTCATTTATTTCATCTTTTACTAGAACTCTTCTCTCAGCAAACATTGCTGTCCCCTCAATGCCCACCCAGTCTAGCTCTGAGACCCTGGGAGCTAGTGAGTGGGTGTCTCTCAGACCCCAAGAACCCCTGACTTCATGGGGACTCTAGATCATTCCCACCCACTCACCCTACCTGCCCCTGTGACCAAGGTGGTAACAGCAGGACAAACCCTGTGACTCTGGGAGGCCCATAGGGCACATGTGGCTTTAAGTTGGTGGGAGCCAGCTAAGGCTGCCGAGATCAGTGGGCCAGGCTAGGGAGATTAGTGTTTCTTCTGAAGGAAGTGGGAGACTCAGAAGTTAGGTTAGGAGTTGGTTCTGTGTGCAGAACTGGAGTGGGGGTGATAGCTGGAGCTCCATGAGGCCAATGAGGGGACAATTCCTTCTTTCCAATACCTCATAGACAATCTCTACTACTTCTTTTACTGTATAGGTTATGTGGTGAGAAACAGAGCACTCAGAGCAGTGAGGGAGACTGACAGACAGAACAGATGTTGAAAAGACACAGTGGTCCAGAAAGCCCAGCAGTCGGGTATGGGAGGGCTTAATGCTGATTGAGGCAATCCAAATGAATCGTCTCTCATTTTTCCATCCATCTGTTTATCACTCCCTGCCTTATTCCAGGAAGGATTTAAGGCAGATTTTTTCTTTTTCTTTTTTTTTAAGGGAAATGCATGAAATACTGGTAAGCAATGAATCTAAACAAACTTGACAATCCTGTTTTAATAAATGTTAATAATGTAGTTATGAAATTTAATAAAATTGGTATAAAAAGAGTCTTGAAATTGAAAAATATCTTGTAATTCAGGAATGAAACTCATGTGAAAGCTCTAGTATTGAGTAGGTGGGGGATGATTTTTTTAAACTCTGGTATATAAACACCAGTTCTAAGCTTAAGGAAGAGAACTATACCATAGAACATAAAGATTATTATCAGGAAGAAGAAAGAACTAAAGAAAAGATTTGAAGAAAGCCAACCCCACAACAGAACCACCAGAATCAACAGAACTAACACCCAGGAAACTAAACTTATAAAGCAAACAAAAGGAGATTTTAAAATTAAGGTCGACTGATTTCCAGTGAAGAAATGGTGGACGGATAGCATAGGTTTACCTCCTCCCTTTCCTATAATCCTAGTCAAAAGACATTAAAGCACAGGTGGCAAACACAAGGCCCACAGGCCGAACCCAGCCCTCCAGTTCGTTTTATCCAGCCCAGCACCTTGTTTCTACCTGGCAACAAGTGCTGAGCTCCTTGCCCCTAGTTAAGGAGTAGTTACATTTATACAGTCCTAAAATTACATTGGCCCTTTGAAGGCAACTGTGAGGCTGATATAGCCCCTGGTGAAAATGAGTTTGACATAGCTGCATTAAAGGAATGTTAAACAAGTATCCACCCAGAAAGACAGAACAGGGGTGGGGGAAGGATTCAGACAATAAGAAAGTTCAGCAAGTCCCTGAAAAGTACTTGGAGGCTCCAGGGGCCCAAGGGGATGACCTGGGGTTGCCCTTCTGGAGAAATCAAGCAGTTTCAGGTCACTGCATACAGAATCAGTCCTGAATAACCAACTCACCTAATGACCAATTCACTAAACTTGTTTCTTTTAACTATTTAGCTTTAATTGTCCTGTTTTCCTTGCCTTCACAATAGTCTTTTAAGGAGTGTTCAACTTGTCTCCATCCCAGAACTTTGCTGTTGGAGTTAAGACACTAAGATGCAGGGAAACTCAAGGGCATGGATAAACTCTTTATCATTTTATAAAAAATAGATTAAACAGAAGGGAATGAAAATCAGGCTGACACCAGACATATGCAAGCAACACTGAATGCTAGAAAATAATAAAGCAATGTCTAGAGAACAGCCAACCTAGATTAGATGGCGGGCCATGGGAGCTCAGGATTGACGCAAAGAAGTGGGTCCCCTGCAGTCTGTTTGACAGAAGGCTGGATCCACAACTACTGCTTAGCAGTGTCCCTTTCTCAGAAGGATTAGCTCAATCATTTTCTCCTAGAAGGGTAAGCTGGTGTCCTTTCTGGAGGAAAATTTGGCAGTAGGTCCCAGGCTTTGAAGCATGCCAACCCTCTGACCCAGTAACCCACGACTGGAAATTCATCCTATAGATACACTAGAAGTGTAAAATTATATATTTACCAGACTATTCAGTGTAGAATTGTCTGGTAAAAACTGGGAGGCACTGTAAATGTCCAAGGTACACCCATGCAATGGAACACTGTATAGCCATTACAAAGAAGGAGGTTTTTATTTAGTTATTTATTTTTATTATTTTTCCCCATTATCAGTATCCCCCCTATACCTTCTTCTACCTCCACTCACCTCCTGCCCTGACGGAGGCACATTTTAGAGGCACTAACATGAAGCAGTGCCCACCACATACTGTTAAATGCAAAAAAGCAAGTTGCCAAAGATTGTGTAGAGGATTATCCCCTTAGGCAGTGTGTTAATAATAATGAATATTCACGCATCTATAGGAAAAATTCTGTAAAGGTATAACCTAAACTATCAACAGTTATTTTATTTTTTAAATCCTCCCCCGATGATATATTCATTGATTTTAGAGAGGAAGGGGGCAGAGAAGGGGAAGGGAGATGGAGGGAGGGAGAAACAGAGGGAGAAAGCGGGGAGGGGGGTGGCGAGAAAAGAAACATCGACTGGTGGCCTCTTGTAGTTGCCCCAACCAGGGATCGAACCCATGACCTAGGCATTTGCCCTGACCAGGTAATAAACCCTCAACCTTTTGGTGTATAGGAACAATGCTCCAACCACTGAGCCACACCAGCCAGGGCTCAACAGGTATTTTTTTTTTAAACATTTTTATTTAATTTTTTTAAATGATTTTATTTATTCATTCATTCATTCATTCATCATTTATTTATACGCAGTGGGGAGGGGAGAAAAAGAGGGGGAGAAACATTGATGTGTGGCTGCCTCTCACACACCCCCCACTGGGGACCTGGCCAGCAACCCACGTATGTGCCCTTACTGGGAATCCAACCTGTGACCCTTTGGTTCACAGGCCAGCACTCAATCCACTGAGCCACCCAGCAGGGCCTATTTATTTATTTTTAGACAGAGGGGAAGGGAGGGACAGAGAGAGGAAGAAAAACACTGATTGGTTGCCTTTCAAATGCACCCCCCCAACCACTCCCAACCAGGGACCCAGCCCACAATCCAAGCATGTGCCTTGACCCAGAATCAAACCTGAGACCTTTAGGTTTGCATGATGATGTCCAACCCATGGAGCCACACCAGTCAGGGCTCAACAGTTATTATTGAGGTAATGGGAATTACAGGAGATTCACTGCTACTGATATTTCTGTATTATTTAATTTTTAAATAAATAATTTGTAGTAATCATAATTAGAAAAAATAAAGTAGTAATTTGAGGTTCATTCCAGCTCCAAGGTAAATTGGTGAACAAGATCTCCAAATATTTGTGGGCGCAAATCTCATCTCTTCCCATTCTTCTCTGTGTGACTTTGTAACCTGTAAGCATCAGTTCCTCCATCTGTAAAATGGGGAACTCAACAGTCCCTGCCTCAGAGTGAAATTAAGAAATCAGACTCAGAGAGAGCAGCACAGAACCCAGTCCCAGGGATGCCCAATGAAGGTGAATGCCTTCCCTTCCCTCCTGGGCCCCTTCTAACTGGGCCTCTAGCAACCGGAGTGATACTTGGGGCATACCTGGGGTCCTGGTCAAAAGTGAACTGTGTTCCTTGACCATGGTGCACATCCCAATCCACAATAAGGACCCTGTGAGGGGAAGAGAAGGGGGCACTGTACAAGAGGATCCAGGTGCATCTGGGGAAGTGCCCAGATCAGGCTGCACCAGCCTGTGCCACCCCCCATCGCATCTGCCCTGCTGCTTGCTGCTGACCTCTGAATGCGGTGTTTCACTTGAGCGTAGCGAGCGGCCACAGCCACATGGTTGAACATGCAATATCCATCCATAAGACTGTGCTGGGCGTGGTGTCCAGGAGGCCTGGGCAGGACAAGGAAAGCCACGGATTGAGGGTTCTTCCTCTGCAGAGACGGACTCCCTTGCTCTCTAATCCTGGACCACCAACTCTGCCAGTGCTGATGCCTGCCAATCTGTCAGGAGCTGAGTAACTGGGGCCCTCGGACTCTCATCCCCAGTCTACTGCTCTCTTTTTGAAGGAAACTTGATGATGCTCCTCAAAATTATCAATGTGTACACCCTCACACCCAGTCACTATGTACCTGGGGACTTAACCCACAGCCTATGTACCAAAAAGGATAAAATAACATGTTTATAAATGGGCAACAATATTTGCTGCGGCCTTTTTTGGAAACAGTAAGTGACTGGGGAGAGCCGAAATGCCCAACAGTAGGGAGTTGGTTAACTTACTGTACACGTGCACACTGGTGTTCTACATGGGTCTAAGCTCTACACTGTTAGAGAACAGCTTTCCAAGATGTTTAGGTGGAAAACGCGTGGTATGGAAGGGAGCTTCCTGAACACTGGAGTGCTCCCCTAAAATAGGGGAGGGAGGAGAAAGGCTGTATCTTCTGCACTTCATCAGTTCTGGGATGCCAACAATGATGAGATGTACTGTGATTTTACATGCCAACAACAAAGCAGAAAATGCTGCCAACTGAATTCTGAGATGTCACTGTTTATAAGATGTATCTGAATTTCAAGATGTTACCAATACGAAAAATATGCATTTTAGAATCAATGAAATATGGTTATGTACTCCATGCATAGGCGCAGGCTATTGCTGGAGGACATGTGAGTTACTGGTTACAGGGACTACCTCCAGGAGAGGAAGCAGGTGTCTGGGGGATGGGGGTGGCAGAGAGACTTTTTCTTGTACCCCCTTTTATACCTTAAGCATGTACATATACTACCCATTACCAATCCATTTTACATTTGAGGGAAGAAATTTTTTTAAATGTAGAAAGCCAAATGCTGGCAGGTCCTACCTGATGATGGCCATGCCATTCTGGATCTCGGCCCCGAGGACCGCATCCACCAGCCTGAGGACAGAGCCTGAAGCCAGGCAGGCACAGGTGTATGAGTTCTGGAGAGACAGTGGGGAGCCAGAGAGGGAATGAGGGAGAGAGCAGCCCTGTCCACTCCAGGTGGGGTAGCTGTGGGGTGGGCATTCCCAGGAACACTATCACCCTTTGCTCTCACAGTTCCCATCCATACCGGATGCAGATAAACTGAGTCATAGGTGTCTGCTAGGACACGGAGTTCTCCCTCATTCATGTATTGGGTCGTCTCCATCAGATCAATGTATTCTAGGCTGGGGACACAGACAGAGGATGAGATTCAGGGGACTGCCTCCCTCCTTGGCCCTGAGCCAGGGCCCTGGCTCCTCCCCAGCTAAGTCTTCCAAGTACCACACCCCTGGGCAAGTCAACCTCCTCAACTGTCATTCTGGGAAAACACTGAGATACAGGTCACATTCCCTGCTTCTTCCCTAGCCCACCTCATTTCCACTGATATTCCTTGCCTTCTCCTCTAACCACACCAAATCCTATTGCCTGGCCTTTGGCCAGAATGTTCCAGCTGTCTCTACTCCCATTCCCTGAACCCTCCTCTTCATCTGACTCACTTTTCTCTCTTAAAGTTCAGCTCAGATCCCCCCTCTGCCAAGCTACTTCACTTGGGCCACACCACACTAGGCCCCTGGTACTGGGTTCCTACAGCACCCTGGGGAACACCGTGATCACTCTGTCCACACATCCACCAGTTGCTAACATACCACAGTATAATAACAATAATAGCTCAGTGAGCTGATGATATGTCAGGCATCATTCTAAGTGCCCAACATATATCAAACCCTCCTGAGGAACATTTATTTACTAGTCCCCGTTACAGGCGATGACACTGAGAGTCAATGAGGCTTGGCAATTTGCCAACGGCCACAGATCCCATGACATTCTATCCCAAAGCATCCAGTCTGCCCTGGTGGGCCCAGGGTAGCCTCCTCCCCATCCCTATAAGGTTACCACGCCTTCACCTGTGAACCAACATCAGCTCCTCCTTTTCAGCAAACCGGGCCTGGGGAGACACAAGGAACAAAGGGCTAAGGTGCTGGCCACACCCGGGTTCTGTCAGCTTCGGCTCTCTACCCAAGGTGCCAGCTGGAGAACTCACCTGAAAGGACACACAGCGGTCCAGGAGGCCCTCTCGGATCAGTTGCTCCTTGATGGCATGGAGCCGTTCTGGGCCTTCAGGGAAGCTGGGTTGATAGAGAGATATAGTCACATGCACACATAGATACATACAGGGACACAGGTGAGAGGCACATCTGGTCTTGCACATCTCCAGTCACCCTTGCACAGAAGCTTCAAAGTCACCCCTGATGCCTACTGGTTCTGTTCTCACAATATATCCAAAGCCTGACCCTCTCCTCATTACCTCCACTGCTGCTACCATAAATCTACCACCCGGGATACTGCAGTCACCACCTCACTGGCCTTCCAACTTCTACTCTCATTCCTCCAACAGTCCTATAGTTGCACAGTAGCCAGACACTGGTTAAAATCCAAATCAGGCCCTAATTGGTATGGCTCAGTTGGTTGGGCGTCATCCTACAAAGCGAAAGATTTGCTGGTTCAATTCTCAGCCAAGCACATGCCCGGATTGAGGGTTTGGTCCCAGTTGGGGCATGTGTGAGAGGTAACCAACTGATGTTTTTCTCACTGTTTCTCCCTCGTCTCTAAAAATAAATAAATAAAATCTTTTTTAAAAATCCAAATCAGATCACATCCCACCTAAATTCAAAACCTTCCCATGGCTCTCATCTCATCAAACCAAGTACTTTTTAGCTAGCTCTCCTTCCTGCCTAGGACACTCTGCTCCCTGTATCTTCATGGCTCACTCCCTCACCTCCTTCAGATGCCTGCTCAAATATCAGCAAGGCCATCCCTGACCATCCTACTCAAAACTGAAGAGTCCCCTCCAGTGTTCTTTCTGCTATTCTCCATCCCTCCTCCACTTCAGCATTGCTCTGCAGCACTTGTTTGTAACATACTGTATCATTTACATTCTGTTTACTGTCTATTTTCCCCCTTGAAAATATAATCTCCAAGAAGATAACGGTTTGTTTGTTTTGTCTGCTGCTATGTCCCTAGCTCCTCAAGAGATGGTAGATCTGTATTCAGTAATGAAATATTTTGCCATTCTGAGTCTTCCATTGGGATAGAGAATATAGATTCTGAATTGGTAAAAATGTAAGTACAATAATGAGCAAACAATGACCGGGCTAGGAAGACCTCAAATATCAAGTGTGGGAGGGAGGGGAGTGGCCAGGAATAGCCCTCTCTGAAAAAGTCTCCTTGAGACGTGAATGTTAACTGAGAGAAGAGAAAATGGAAACAGATCTCTGGAAGAGGAATCAGCCAGGGCGGGACATAAGGGAGTATCAGGAATGTCAGAAGAACAGCAAAAGGACCAGTGTGGGTGAAGTGAAGTGAAGCGAATGAGGGGGAGGATTGGCTGATGAGGTCACCAAGGTGATATGGGGCCAAATCACATGGAACTAAGAGTCTAAGATGAAGAATTTGAACTTTACCTTGAGGGCAGTAGTCTGCCCTTGAAAGATTTTAAGAAAGAGAACACTATCTTGAACTTGGTTTTAGGCTGCTGTGTAGACAATAGATAGCAGGGTAAGAGTGAACACAGGGGACAAGGGAGGAGGCCTCTGCAAGTATAAGTGAGTAATGATAGTGGTGGCAGTGAGGGCCAGAAAAGGTCAGAGACTGAATACATTTAAAATAGAGCCAAAAGAATTTGATGATGGTTTACAACATGTATGAGCAAATGGGAGGTATAATTCTTCTGTTTCAGCACAAATGTCTCTTCTTCAAGGGCACCTTCTGGGAACACTGGATACTGGTCCACAGTTCTCTATTAAACACTCTTGAAGCCACTGTTCTTAAGTTCTCCTACATTAAACACTTCACACTGCTGTTATTGTTTAATCATCTGCTCTCCTACTCACCTATCAGCTCCTTGAGAAGGGACCCTGTCTTGTCCAACACATTTGTATCACCAACTCCCGTCACACAGTAGGCACTCAATAAACATTTTCTGGCTAAATGATAAGAACCCTTTCACGCCTGAGCCCCACCTTCCTAAGTTTTCTGCTTCCAGTGTCTAGGCTAGTCCAAGAAAGGATCTGTTCTTCCTAATGGCTCTAAGTGTGCATATTTGTGTGGTTCAGAGACAGCTTGGCAGAGTCAGCCTCACCTGTCATCCCAGAGGCAGTGGAATTCATTTAGCTGCTCATCAAACACCAAGCCAGTACCAGGCAGTGTCTTGGCCTCAAGGTTCAGATCCTACAGGGGAAAAAAATGGGAGACACTGATCCATTTAGGGCCTGAGTCAGAGGTAGCATCCCATGCTGTCCAGGATGGAGAACCTCAGGGTTTCCATTGTCACAGGAAGCTAAATTGCGGCCAGGCCTCTCTTACCAGCCCTTGAAGCCCCACAATTAGGTCTTGCTCTGCTGCTTGGCTGAGTTTCTTCATTCTTCCTTTCTTCTTTACCTCCGCTAGTTTGGGGCTGGAGCGGAGTCCAGCACCCTTCTTAACACCTGGCTTCTGCCAAATAGAGAGAAAGGTCAGAGTCCACTGCACAGCCCATTGCTCCCCCTCCCCCTCATCAGAACAGGTCTGGGGCCTCACCGATATGATGCTGGAGTCAAGGGGGGGCGAGTGTGGGTTGTGCCTACTTCTTCGCTGCCTGGTTGTGGTGGAGTCCTGGCCGGTGGAGGTCATGGTTGGGGAGACTTCACCCCTGATGCGGTTCTGGGGGGTGCGGTGGAGGTGACTGAAGGGGCTAGGGTGCCCTAAAGACCCCGCATCCCAGCCTCTTTCTAGGCCCCGCCCCTTATGCTGTCCTAGGATCCACCACCTTCTAAACCGTCTCTCTCAATCCCCTCTCCCTCCACTGGAATGTCCATTCCACCTGGCCCCTCCCATCCCACTAGACTCCTTTCAAAGAGCAATTAACCCCCAGACTTCAGTCCATTTTAAGGCCTGATCTTTCCAGCAAATCACCGCCCCTTCCGTTCTACCGAGACTCATTCTTAGATCCTTTCATTCCTCTCAGCCTGGCCCAGACCCCACCTCTTCACAGACTTGCCCTTTCCACCCAATCTCCCGGATATTTACCCACCCTTTCACTCAGCCAGCCCCAGCCCCTGGCCCAGGCCTGACTCCACCCTTAACGATCCACTTAACTCCACCCCTTATCCACCGGACCGGCACCTTCCACTAGGCCAGATTCCACCCCTAACGATTCAACAAGCACCGCTCCTCAGGGGACAGCCCCTTTCCTTCCACCAAACCCCACCCCCTGCCTAAACCCTACCCCTAACGCTTCCCCTAGCCCCCTCAGTTTCTAACCACCTCCCGTCAGCCCCCGCCCCCTCTGTCGACGCCAACCAATCCCTTCCTCATCATTCACTGGGCGCAGTGCAGACCTTTCCTCAAACTCCGCCCAGGGCTAGTACCGCTCAATTTCCAGCGACCTGTGGGGCTGCTCATGCCTAGGCCCGCTTTTTCATTGGGCCAGTTCTCTCTACTGACCGCCCAGATCCCGCCCACACCGGGAATCTGGCTGCACCGCCGCGCTCCACCTCAGAGCAAACGTTCGGTTTGTACGTCATTACGTGATGCGGACCATGATGCGAGCCGTGTTGCGCCTGCGCGAAGTCCGTACCCGCAGTTCGACGTTGAGCTTAGGCTCAAGCTTGCCCCTCCCCCCAACCGCCCACGCTTTCTTTCTGGTTGCCCTAGCTTCCGTCCCTCCGTCCTTGTCCAGTCACTTAGGAGCCCTCCAGATCCACGGCTACAGTGAGTCAACAGTGACTCAAGACAGCAAGCAAGCGAGCAAATGGTGTTAGGAAAGGGTATCTTCTCTCCTTCCCGTGGCTTCCCGCGCGGCGTGTAGTGATGACGTATGCGGGTGGGTTGGTGCTCGGTTAAACTGGAAAATGGCTGGTGGCGGCCAAATAGTAGTGCTAATGATGCTAAACGTGGTGATGATTTTTCTGCGTTAATGTTCACGAAGGTGTGTCATGAGAAAGGGAGTGTCCCTGAAAGTAATCACACAACATCAGCTCTCCAATAAATAAGCTAATAGGTTTACATGCAGTTTGCATGCAGAAAGGAAGCACTTAGGCAATAGAGCAATAGAACGAGCTGAGCGAGCATACGACAAGCCACATCACTTACGGCCTCCGCGGATGGAGAGGCACGCGTTGGTCTCAAGCCAGGCAGCTACAGTGGCGGCATGGGTCTGGGGGAATGGAAGTCCAATTGGGCTCAGAGGGTACAGCCAAGCTAGAGCATGGGATGGTGGAAGCTTTGAGTCCTTAGAGCCCGCAGTGGGCGGCGGTCCCACTGATGTCGGTGTCCAGATGGAGTTTTTATCAGGCTTGCAGTTTGTGGTCCCATCCCAAGGGCATTCCATTACACCTCATTACCTCGGTCTTAGGCATATTGCCACTTAACAGTAACTGTCATGGCTGAGTGACTCCATATTGGATTGTGAAAGGTTATTCAAAAAGTCCACTCTGCTCTTGCTGTATACAAGGTGATACACAGGGAGCACTCATCAAGTGTTATCTATTAATATTCTGTCGTGGAAATGGATGTTGGGGCCAAAGGAATCTTATTAGGGGCAAATGATTGTAATGATAGCAAGTATTATGATATGTCAGACATTGTTGTAAGCCACAATTCTGTGAGGTAGTTCCCTTTAGTAAGGCTACTTTGCAGATAAGGAACTGAGGATACATGACTTAGTCATGTGACCTTGGGCAAGTTACTGAACATCTATGTGCTTCAGTTTCCTCATCTGAAAAATTGTGATAAAATAGTGTCCAGGGCCAGAATGGACTTGGGGAGGGGAGAGTTTCTTGAGCAGCAGTTCTCCCTAACAGCCTCCACCGAGTAACCTCTGTTTCCAAGTGTGTGCATAGGGGGAAGGGGGAGTTTCCCCTGTAGGGGGGACTCCCTCCCACCCCACGTCTAAATAGCCCCACAGGAGGCGGGTTTGTCCTCCTATCTCCCTTTTTCATTCTTCACCATTTCCTACAGGGCTGTAGGCTGGGACCGGAAAGATAAGCGGTCTGGGGTTCAGCATCGCTGACTAACAAACAGATTGACAGCTCCACCACCCACTAGCTGGGCCCTCTGACCTTCTTGAAAACTCTAGTATCAGCTTTCTCTTGCCTTCCACTCTTTCCCTGCAACAAGTCGTTTGTCCCAGTGGAAGAGTGCGGCAGCCCTAACACCTTTAAACCTCCACATACACCAAAGAAAACATAATGATACACACTAAGGAACATTCTGGGGTTATGGTGCCTGCAAAGTAATAGAGTGGGGAGACTTATAAGAGTCAAGGCCCATGTTTTCTGTATAGTCAAAAGAAAGCAGAAGTCAAACTTTTTCTATGAAGGACCAGAGACTAAGTATTTTAGGTTTCATAGGCCACATACAGCTTCTGGTATGTTCTTCTTTCTTTCCCTTCAAACATGCAAAAACAGGATGTAGTCTGGCTTTGGCCTGAAAGCCAAAGTTTGCTGATCCCTTCAATAGAGTGTCAGCCTTTGGTTTCCATTATCTGGCTGGGATCCTTTTACAGGATAAATGCAGAAGTTCCATACTTCCCGAGGAGAGGTATTCCTTTTGTGTGAGGTAAGGGGACTGATTCATGGACAGGGTCTGGTCATTTCTGGTGTTTTTCTACTAGGTCAAGCAAATGTCCCTGTACAGAATGAGAATAGGGAATCCTACAGTTTCTATAGTGTTGTTCTTCCACTGAACCAAGCAGGGGTTTCTATGCAGGACAAGACAGTTGTTTTTAGAGAGTTCCAGGCTAGGGGTTCCCATACAAGTTTGGAATGGGGCTTCTTAGACTACATTATGACAGGTTCCTTCAAAGAGATCAAGTGGTCCAGGTCAGGGTCAGCACAAGTGTTTCTGTACAGGTTTAGATCTGTGTTCATATAGACAGTAGGATCAGGTATTCATATCCAGATTCAGTCAAAATATTATTATTAATTGGGCCAAATCAGTCTAGCTGTTTTAACAAACAAACCCAGAATCTTAGGGGTTTAATAAATAAATATTTATGTCTTGCTCATACAAAACCCAATGTGAGCCCTGGTTGGTGTGGTTCAGTGGATTGAGCACTAGTCTGGGAAACAAAGGGTTGCCGGTTCAATTCCTAGTCAGAACACATGCCTGGGTTGTGGGCCAGGTCCCCAGTTGGGGGTGCACAAGAGCCAACCACACATTAATGTTTCTCTCCCTCTCTTTCTCCTTCCCTTCCCCTCTGTCTAAAAATAAATAAATAAAATCTTTTAAAAACCCCCACAAAATCCAATGTGAATATTTACTACTGATTATTCATGGACCCAGGCAACCTCCATTTTGTGACTCTGCTCTCCTCTGAGTTCTTGGACTTCTCACTATTCAGCTAGTAGATGGGGAAAGAGAGAGAAGGAGGATTCCATGAGAGGCCTTTATGGGCCAGGCCTGGGAGTCATGTATGTCACTCTGCACACACTCCATTTATCAGAACTCTGTCACTTGTCCACATCCAATTGTAAGGGAGGCTGGAAAAGTGAGTGAGCTCAGGAAGAAAGGGAACAGGTTTGAAAAGCCTATGGCAATGCCTGCTACAGGATTCTGCACATGCCACAGAGCTATGCTGTTTAATGTGATAGTCACTAACCACAGTCAGGACAGTGATTCCTGTAAAGGTGAGGGTAGGGCTTCTGGAACAAGGCTTGGGCAAGGGCTATACAAGAGAGTCACGTCAGGGCTTCCTTGCAGCATCAGGAGAGGGTTTCCAAGAGGGCAAGCTTAGGAGTTTCTGTAAAGGATCAGGTCAGAGATTCCTGTAAACTAGTCAAATTAAGGATTTCTTTTTGAAGTCAGGGACAGTTTTTCTGCAGAGTCTGGTTATACATTCCAGTACCGTTATAGGCAAGGCTTCCTGTAGAGGGTCAAGGCCATGGAGCCAACACAGGGTGAGGACAGGAAACCCTGTATAGTGTCTGTGCAGGGGGTCCTGTGCCAGGTTAGGTTGTAGGTGCTTGTATACAATGAGGTCTGGGCTTAAAGTAGAGGGTCAGGACAGGCACTGTGCCACAGGTTCAAGAATGGATTTTTCCATGTAAGTTCAAGACCAAGGTTCATTTTGAGAGTTGGGTCACAGGTTCCTGTGGACTCTATGGCGTAGGGTGTGAGATAGGGATTGTTGTGCAGTCATGTCATGGCTCATTGTCAACAATGAAAGCAAGGCTCCTGAACTCAATCAAGATTCCTAAAGAGGTTGCAGATAGAATTTCTGCAGACAGAGGCAGGTCAGTGGTTCAGAACTAGCTTTTATTGTGAATGAAGTATTTCTAAAATGCTACTTGGAAGGCAGGGCTCCAGTACAGTGTGAGGACAGAGGTGTCCTGTCCAAGGTCAAGGTGGGATTCCTACAGAGAGATCGAAGCCCATGAAGAGGTTTAGGACAGGCGTTTTTGCAAGGGGTGGTAGAGGTGCTTCCTTACAGTGTGGATTCAGAGATTCCTAAGCAGGGTAAGGCAGAGGTTCCTGTGCCATGGCTGGACAGAGTGCCTCCTGTACAAGGTAAGCACTGGTGTTCCTGTCCAGGGTCAGGATAGGTTTTCCGTTCATAATTAGAGACAGGGTTCCCTTAGAGTTCCAGAGCTAGGTTCCTGTATTACTAAGCTTGGGCTGCCATTTTTATAGGGTTTGAGGACCAGGGTTCCTGAACAAGGTGGGTCCAAGCACATTTCCAGCAAAGGTTCTGAAAGGGGTTTCTGTTCAATACAAGGACAGGGGCTCCTACAGGGTGAGAGGGCTGGAATTCTGTGGAGCAGCCAGGGCAGTTCTGTACAATCCCTGTGATGAGCATGGACTACTGTGATTCTGCAGTGGGTTAGTGTGGTGACTAGCTGAAGGGATGCTGTTCTGTTGAGGACAGCTGCTTACCCATACTATGTTGAGGATACATGGTCCCACAGTCTCTATCTCTGGGGCTTGAGTGGAGAAGCCATAAAGAGCAGTAGCCCAAAAAAAAATCCAGATTTGAGAAAAGTGTAAATGATTTTAAAAAGAGAGAGAAAAGCAGCCCAAATAAATGTAAGCAAGAATCACTCTGTGGGGGGTGCCCCCCTCCTAAATCCACTCCTTAATCTCAATGTGGTCAGGGCAAGTTACTCACAGTTCTGA